CACCTGGCCTCCATCGCTCCCGCTACCATTCAACTTCCTCCTCTTCCCAGTCCTGGCGAGCGTTAAAAAAGGTTCAATTTCACTTTTTGTTTACCCATTGAAGGCAGTTCGCAATCCACTCTTCAAACCTGTCTTTCCCAGACAACCCCAATTATTCAGCTCCATTAGTCCCCAAATGTTCTCCCAGTAACTTTTTTCCCCAGTTCATTTCTGGAATACAACGTTGGAAGCAGCAGTGGGACTGTACTGGGTACAGCCTTGAGCTTGATGCCCAAGAGCAATAAATACAGCACAGTGATTACCACACAGCCCATACACACGCTGCAATCTTGCCTCTTTTGCGCTGCGCTCCTATTTTTCCCCAACTGTCTGACCTTTTCGGCTCCCAGTCTGGTTTTGATCCTCTGTAATCCCAATTACATTTTTGTGCGCGCATGCGTGTGGAATCGCAGTCCAGCCAGCGAAAGTCACCATGCATGGAAACCCCAGCGCGGCAGCCCACGTCAAAGCCTTGCATCTCTCCATGAGAGCCCTCAGGCGCAAGCACGGAGTAACGCACAGGTGCCCGAGGTGGCCTAGCTGCAGAGTCGAGCGTGAAAAGCCTGTGCATAGGCTGTGGAAGGGGGAGCACACAGGTAGCTGCTGGTCTCTGCTTTTCCTTCCCAGAGCAGCAGCTGCACTAGCACGCTCATTTTTGCAGGTACCTTGTATTTGGACGCGGCTGCCTCCTGAGTAGCTGGAACTTGTTTGTGAACTAGCTAGGGGGAGAAAAACCCTGACAGAAATGCTGAAATCCACCCTGAAAACAAGGGGAAGCAGCAAAGAAGAATTTTAAGCCACAGTCTGGTACGAACTGTGATGTGTCTGGCAAACACTTAACGCACTAACTTGCGTGTGGGAGCTCATATCCTTGATCCAATATATCCTGGGGTAGCCTGACTGCACACCCTGTGCCTAACAGAGACAGCAGGCTAGGGCTGAGTCAGTAATTCACATTACAAAATAAAGCTTTAATCGATCAAATGGAGAAATCAATAGTGCAGCGAACAATCCTGATGCTTAGCACCGTATAGGACTTAACAGTTCTGTTCTCAGTTTTTCCATATGCCTTTTTTTTTTTTTTTTTTTTTTTTTTTCCCCAATGTGAAAACACAACTTCCAGCAGAAACTGGTAGCTTTCAGAGCATGGAAGAGGCCATTGGAGATTTTGGCTGACACTTGAGAAAGGCTCAGACATTATTAGGGTCAGGGAAACAGCAAACTAAAAGAGATTCTTCTAAACCACCTGCCAGCAAAATAACAAACACCGAAGTGCTATTGAGGTCACTCTTAACATCCCGTCAGGATTACGATGAGGTAATCCAGCGCTGTCCCAGCTACTGTGCCAGGCTGTCTGCAGGCTGCGGAAGGCAACCCAGCCCACAGTCCACACTCCACACTACAACAGATTTTGCAAACACACAGACTGTACATTTCCTTTACAGTGGCCATCCCAGCTCCAGAGCAAACTCGTGGGGTGGGGAAGTGCAAGTCACCTTCTGCCCACGGTCACTCCACAAGGCACTACATCCCAGAGAGAAGGGAAAGCTCCTGCATGACCCAGACTGAGGGTGTCCCACGCTGTCCTTCAGCTTTGAGCTGCAGTCCCCTTGGTGTGGTACACCTCTCCTCTCCTCCTACATCCTTCTCCAACCCAACAGCCACAGAACGGCTCTAGAGCATGTAACTCCCAAACCAGAATGAGAAACACTCTGCTCTGCACATGGCACCTCTTGGGCACTTTGGATGAAATCCAGTCCAGCATCAGACTTCTGGCCTTGCCTCCGAGTTGTGTTTTTGCAGCTCTGAAGCACCAAACACCCTGAGGTGAGACAGGAGGATGGGCAAGGTCGCACATTAAACCACACGAGCTTTCCAGAGCGACCTTTAAGGCAGCGTAGGACAACTGTTTTGGAGGTGAGGAAACCACATGTACTGCACTTTCATGATGTGACCGAGGTTATTCAGTGCCCAAGAACTCAGCCCAAGATGGGACTCAGAGTCCAAGCACACAAGGCACCAGTGGCACATGGGATAACAGTGTCCACTTCCCCACCATTTGCCTTCTTCAGAAGAGAAAGGGAGGTGCAAAAGGACCCCATTCCTCACCACAAGCACGTGCGTCACTCAGTTCCCTCCAGACGAAGCTGCTCTAGCAGAAATGGCATAGCTGCTGTCAGTGTTGAGCTCACACCCTGCTCCTCAACACACTGAAGATTTTCTCTGTGTGTGCGTTCATGTGCACGCTCCAAGAAACAATGGAGAAATACATCGGGCTGGAGCCGTTAGCTTTAGCAGCTGGTGGCAATCAGCATTGTTCTGATGTTCCTCCACAAAGCCTCAGGCACTGGTTTACTCTTTTCCCCTCCCATTTCTGGCATGAGGAATCTATGTACTCACCCATTGCCAGGTTGCCAATTTTCTCTTGTGGGTTTTGGCCACAGAGGCCTTTTCTTCCTTTGCCATTTCCTCGCCAGTACACATGTGGCATGGGAGGAGGCCTGGCTGAGGGAGGCAGAATGGCCACCATCTCCTACAGATATCCCAGCACAGACGCCAGCATGCTGTCTAGGCTCATGCTTCTCCTCAGGGGATTCACTCATGGTCTTGCCACCATTATTCCTCAATCCCAACCATGCAAGCGTTTTTTTTTATTCCCCCCCTCCCCGCTGCTGAAGGAATCTATGCTATAAAACATATACTGAGGTCCCAAGAAGCAAGGCAATTAACTGCTGATGACGGCAGCAGCCCTAAGGTAAAGGGCAGGCTCTGCTGCTCCCACCCCAGACAGGGCCACACACAGACAGCAAGGGCATTAGGGCATTTCATACTCTTCTGAGCTATCGCAATTAAGATCGGCATATTCAGCAGACAATGGAATTCTGGCTAGCTCTGAGTTACCACAGAAATAGCTCCTAGCTATTCCACTTCCCAAGCACCAGTGGATTTCAATATCCTTTAAGCACCAGGAGTCATGTCCCCTCTTTCCAGCTGGTACTGGCATTAGCACAGTTGCTCTTTGGCTTCAAATAAGTCACAAGTGTTTTTTCCTTAGCAAAGTAACTTCATATTTATTTATTCACAGTTACCAAATTTCACCTGGCACAGGTACCAAACAAAAAGTACCCCTGCATTCAGGTATGGCACTGGAGAAGAAACACATGAGAAAAGATGACACCGCGTCTCCATGGAAAAAGGATTTACTGCACAGCAGAAATGCCAGGGCGCTGATGCACGAGTGGAAGCAGAGCTTTTCCAAGGCTCATAAATTGCCCTGACGATCTGCCTGTTGCACTCTGCCCCAGATCCTCTCCTTTGATAAAGCCAAGTATCAGCTCTGGAAAGGCAGGCCCAAGGACACAAGGGTTACGGCAAACAGAGAACGTGCAGAGGTTTTTAGACTCCGTGGCACCCGACACTTAGCTGGAGATCACTGCAGAAATAAACAAGTAGAGCGTCTCATCATCCCAGCCAGTGCTCAGGAGGTGAGAGACAGGCTGAACCGGGCTCGCTGCTGGTCAGAGCACCAAGTAAACAAGGCCCTTGCCCACAATGAAGGGATCCCAAAGAGCGGCAGGCCAGATGTGGAGCACTGTCCCAGCTGCTGGTCTGAGCACTAGTTTCTCTGTTAATCTTGGTCGCGGCCCATTTTGCCTGTCAGTCTCCGTCGCTGAGTCTTAGTGGTTCGCCCCGTGCTGGATTTCTGGATTTTCTTGTGTGGGCCTTGCCCACGTTGGGGTCTTTTTCCTTTTGTCTTTTTTCGGCTGTGCATGTGCAGCGTGGCAGTAAGAGAAGAGATCCTGTGCAGGGCAGGAAGAGAGAAATGTTTGGGGACCAAAGTCTGCAGGATCAAGTTGACG